AGAGAAAGGAAGGAAGGAAGGAAGGAAGGAAGGAAGGAAGGAAGGAAGGAAGGAAGGAAGGAAGGAAGGAAGGAAGGAAGGAAGGAGAAAAAAGAAAAGAAAAGAAAAGAAAAGAGAAAAGAAAAGAAAGGAAAAGGAAAAGGAAAAGGGAAGGGGAAGGGGAAGGAAAGGAAAGGAAAGGAAAGGAAAGGAAAGGAAAGGAATGAAAATGCAGTATGATAAAAGAAAATGATTTAATGTAATCAATAAAACAAGACTTACTCAAAGACAAACTCTTCTGACCATACAGGGTTTTGGCCTTCCCTTGCATGAGTTTTTGCTACCTGGACACTGTTCAGGTAGATGTTGCAATATGGATTAGTAAAATGTTTTATTGGGAGTTTATGGGCTTCTTCAATATGTAAAACAAGGCTGCTGACCTAAAGAAAGCACAAAAATTGTTACACCAGATTTCAAATATTATGCATTAAGTTTCTAAAGCAATTACTATAACTGTAATTTTGTTTTACAAGTTATTCCTCTAATTATATTCTTGCAGAAAGTGAAATATACCTTTTAATATAAAACCATGGTTCAGAGAAAAGGAAAAGGATTCTTTATTAACATAAGTAAACTGTCACAACTCAAATCAAAATCCTATTTGTTACATAATGCTCATCTGAAAGATTTAATTTCTAAAAGAATTCCACAGCTATAAAGTATTTTTAAAACACACTCTACCTTTTCATTCTACAGAAAAGGAAACAGATCCAAAAAAGAATAGATATTTGTTAGTTTTGATGCCAAAACTTAGACCAGATACCTTCTAGTATCAGGTCTTCTTTTCCCTCCTGCCAGCTATTACCTGCATTAGACAAGTTGCTTCTCTGAGCCTCACCTTCCTCAGACATAAAATTACAACAAAGTTTACACTGCAAGTTGCTGTAAAGATTCAAAATAATATGTGTAAAGCACATAGTAGAGTACCTGACATAAGGAGGGTTTCAAGAGCTATTAGCTATAGCATATTATATTATACCTATAAATGATAATTTCATGGCTAAAATTTCACACAAGACAATCTGTAAAAATTCAACATGCTTTTCCATTGCTTACAAAATGTTAACATATGTTTTGAGAGCACATAGTGATTATGTGTATAAATTTCCTTGGGGAGTCAGTCTGTTGGAACAGGGGATGATATAAACTAGTAATCTAAATATTAATATCCATTTCCAATAGAACAATATGTTCAAATCATCAAGCTTATTGGAAAATTCCTACAAATAAAACAAGAGTCACTTTGGTCAATAAACACTGTACTAAAATCACCCCAAAAATCAAGAATGTTAAAATTTCTTGATATTTAACCAATTATCTAGGGATAACTATAAAGAAAAAAGCAAAAGAAACGGAGGATATAAAGTTGACTTTATACACTTTGAAAGAAAGAGCCTAGCCTAACTCTCTATGAATGAACACACAGGACATGTTAATGTTTCAAGTAAGATAGTATAGGATACTACCTAAGAGTTATGAAATAACATTTCAAAAATAAATTCTATAAAATGAAAAACCCAAAAAATTATTGGGATTAGTAATTCAAGGAAGATGATTTTTTTCAGTAAGTACTTTTAGTTCCACATTTTTTAAATAGGCATTTTTAAGGAAAAAAGAAAATAAAAGTGCCCAACAGAATAGTTTCTGTTACTGTTGGTTTGGTATTTTTATTTTGAGTGGAGGGGAAAAAAACACCCTTGATAATGTATTTAAAAGATGCCATTATATGCCCAGCAAGTATATAAAGAACATTCTCTTTCGTAAAGAAATAACTATTTCTCCTGCTACTGAAGCAAGTGGGAGTTTTAAATTGCCTGACAAAATTAATTTCTCTTAAGAACTCTATAAAGTATCTGAAATACTGCCCCAAACAGTTCATAATGTAATAAAAATAAAGAACAAAGTGATAAAACAAAATGTGACAGTCACAAATCAAAGAAAATTAAGTTTCACCTGACGCAAGCGTTTATTAGATGTCCCTGGACTACTTTTCCGTAAATTGCAAAATGCCTGCAGACCTTTCATCCAATCCTACAAGAAATAACAACAGTTCAAAGAAATATACTGTAGTATAGTTTATTTAATTTCCAATCATCAATTTGTAAATTCAATATTCTTTCCTTCTTGAGATTGCCATTTTTAAACTCACAGTACTGCAATATGTTTGTACCCCAATAAAGTAAAACAATGATTAAAAAAAGTTTAATTCTGAAAAACTTGTGTTTCTGTAGATTTTCTAAATTAATGTTAAGTGTACAAAGAAGGGTACATTAATTAGCCAAATTTTTTTTGAATAGGTAAGCTGTTACACTTGAAATACCTAAAGCAGAATTTACTTGACATATTTTATGAAAGGAGGGCTGACTGCAAAACCAGTGGATAATGTGATGACTAATTTGATGACAAGCATTTTAATCTTCTACATTAGACTATGATATAAGTAGAAATGTATAAGGGTATCTGGGTTATATATGTGTTTGAAATATAACATTAGATTTTAAAATGTTCACCCAAATATTCAAATTAAATTGTAGCTACCTTTAAAAATATTTAACCCATCTAGTGCTCTGGAGAGAGAGAAATTTTACATTTATCAAAAATAAATCTAAATATTTCACTTTCAAGTACATGTTTCTAGAAAGCTCTATATACCATTGCTTTACTCAATTATTTCTTTAATTTGTAGGCTATTTCAATGAACCTGAACTTTGTCAATGTTTAGAGAACATCTTTATAGTAGAGCAAATTAAGATCAAATCAATTATTACAGCTTTTAGGAATAGAAGAGAGGCCAAGCCAGCATGGCTCAGTAGTTGAGAGTTGACCTATGAACCAGGAGGTCACAGTATGATTCCCAGTCAGGGCATATGCCCGGGTTGCAGGATTGATCCTTAGTGTGGGGCATGCAGAAGGCAGCCAATCAATGATTTTCTCTCATCATTGATGTTTCTATCTATCTCTCCCTCTCCCTTCCTCTCTGAAATCAATTTTTTAAAAAGAAATAGCAGAAAGTAACCAGAAGAGAGCCACCAAAGTAATGAAAATTGGAAATACCAGTGGTATTTTGGACACTAGTATTTGGAAATATAGAATATAGAAAAAGTATATAGAAATGCAATAATAAAATGTTCTATTCATACAGCTCGGTGAGACATGCAAAACATACTGAAATATCAAGGTATGAAACACATCTTTATTTAGAAAGAGGACATGGTAAAATAACTAGAAGATGGGATAGTAAAGTTTAAATTTCTTTCCCAATTCAATTTCTAATATTTAAAAAAAGGTTACCAAATGTTTTGAGCCCCACTTTTTCATCTACATTTAATAAAAAATTAGGGATATATACATATAAAATGTTTTTGTGTTATATGCTGAGTATTTGAGATATCCTGCAAAGATTTGAAATATGACTTGATTATGAATCATAAAACAATGGTTCATTTATCAAGTTATTCTAGAGTCTAAGATATTTTCATCATAATTTATTAATGGATATTTTCATAAATTATGAAAGCATCCACAGCATCTGCCTCAAATCCAGTGCTGGCAAATTATCTTCTATTTCCAACAAAGTTGCTTACAAAGTAGTTGCTTTCTTTGACCTCTTAACCACCTTCAAGTTCCTTCCATAGAATATAAGCAGAAATATAGCCATATTTTCACAAAATACCACTAAAAAACAGGAAATATGATTCAAAAAACTCAAAATATCTTAAAAGGAAATTTTTAAAAAACATTATTTCTTCATAATATTAGTTATATACTAATGGTTTTTAGAAAGGCATTGCACATAGATCATTGGCTAGTCCAGAAAGCAGACATTATAGTTAAGACTTATAGAAAATTCCTAAAATAGTTTTCTTTCGGATGACCGAACTTCTGTTTTTGGATATGGAATTCAACCAGTGAAAAATAACAACACTTGTGAGCAAAACTAACTGGCTTACCTTCTGATTGTACTGAGAATATCTATAATCTTTCTGCAGAGAGGATTTTAAATGAGCATTCTCAGTTGGACTCAACATCACAGAATATTTAAAGACCAATTTAAAATGGAGTTTTCATTCATAATAACCCTTCACTGTGTTTTTCTGCATTTCTTTAAAAAAAAAAGTTTTATACCTGAAAGTTCTCATTCCTTAAAATAAAAAGATGATTACATTTCAAACATCCTTTTTATCACAAAACAAAGGCTTGTGAAGTATATAAATTTCTAATCTCTCTCTCTCTCTCTCTCTCTCTCTCTCTCTCTCTCTCTTCTATTAATTATGATTGAAAAATAAATTCAAGAAAACATGGGCTAAATGTTTACACTGAAGAAACAATTAACTTACCTCTGCTTGTTCTGGAGTTTCGCCTGCAAAGTAAAAGATGTAATGTTCTTCACTAAAGTGCTGAACTACTATCTGAAAACAGTTTGGCCTTTAAATACAAACAAAAAAGTTATTAGGCAGCTTAACAAAAAGTACTATTAATTTGAGCTACTTAAAAAAAATCACAATATATTAAATAATTTATATAAAATTAACATAACTCTTAATTTAGAGAAATTCTCCATTGTACCAGGTCATTACTAAAAAGAAAATGTCAGTTGCATATATTTTAGAAAACTTTTTAGACAAAAATTTTTAAAATTTTATTAATCTGTCAAAGTTTAAAAACTTTAAAGCTACTGTATAAATTAATTTTACAGGACATTAGAAATAGAAAACTAGGGGAGGCCACAGGATTGTCAAGGGCGGGGAAAAAAAGGACACATATGTAATACCCTTTGTAATACTTTAAGCAATAAAAAAAAAACAAAAAAACAAAAACAAACAAACAAACAAACAAAAAACCAGGATCAAAATAAACCCTACTGGCTTGCTCAAAAAAAAAAAAAAGAAATAGAAAACTTACAAAGGAATTGAAGCAGAAATGTTAGAATTTCACATAGCTATTCTAAACACTTTTTAAAAGCAAATAAAATGTTACTAAATGTATTGATTCAGGATGATATAAAATATACATTTATCTGCACTGGAAAAAGACTACAAACATATTTGTAGACCAATATGTTCTTAGTGGTTATCTCTCAGTAGATAGGTTGATTTTCATTTTCTTGTTTATAATTTTACTAGCGTCCCGGTGCACGAAGATTCGTGCACTGGGGGGTGGATACCTCAGCTTGACCTGCACCCTCTCCAATCTGGGAGTTTCTGTCTGTCTTTGCAATCATATGAGCGAATTGTCTAAGACCCCCAACCCAGTTTGGTTTGTTGTTCACAGAATAATAGAGGCATTTTTTTTTTCTTTGCTTCATTGGTGGAGATTTCCTGGAAGTTTTAGGATATCTTCCCTTTAATTTTTCCTAGACACTCTGATTTTACTTATGTCTCTCACCTTTGCTTTCCCTCCATCCCCCACCACAAAAGTAACTTGCTCCAGGCTCACTTTTCTCTAGTGTCTAGGGCAGTGGTCAGCAAACTCATTAGTCAACAGAGCCAAATATAAACAGTACTTCTTCAAAACAGACTCGCCCAGGCTGAAAACCGACTTCTGCGCATGGGCCACAAAGTTTCAATCGCACTGTATGTGCGCCCGCATGTGGTATTTTGTGGAAGAGCCACACTTCATGGGGCCAAAAAGCCGCATGTGGCTCGCGAGCCGCAGTTTGCCGACCAAGGGTCTAGGAGATCCATCTGCCACCAGAACTATGATTCCCAGCATTCCTGGTGCTCCTCGCACTCTGGGCTTCGACTTCCAGTTCTGGGGCTGCCACCAGAACTACTATTCCCAGAGTTCCTGGTGCTCCCCATGCTCTAGGTTTTCCCTTTCTGCTGTCTCCGTTCCCGGCCTTCCACTCTGCCACATCCCCCCAAGCCTCCGGCTGTCCTGCTCTGCTCTCCGCCCGGCAGCTTGGGAGAGCGACCAAGGGAGCCACATTCCCCCATGCTGCCGGCTCTCCTGCTTCTGCTCTCCGCCCGGCGCCTGTGTATGCAAATTAATCTGTCATCTTTGTTGGGTTAATTTGCATATTTACTCCTGATTGGCTGGTGAGCATAGCAAAGGGACGGTCAATTTACACGCTTCTCTTTTATTATATGGGATGTACTTTCAATTTTTTACAACTGACAGTTTTCCTCACCTTGTAAATGGAAACATCACCTACTCATGGATATGCTTGTTCTGAGGATTAAATGACCTAACAATGGAGTACAGTAAATACTGGTTTGTGCCCGCCTGTAATATGCACTGTACTATAATTCACTTAACATGTAAATACATTATCAAATAGTTTATATCTTTTCTGAAAATGTCCTCTAACTAAACTTGAAAATGTTTACAAAATGTTTAATAAGGGCCTTCATGTTTTTGAAACTCAATAAATGTTATTTCTATTTCTTGCTTTAACCAAAGATTATATCTTATGTTTTGGTGTTACTAGGTCATAGCAGACTACAAGCTTAAGATTTATTAAAGATAAAGAGAACCATCTTTTCATTCTCTGAGAATATCATAAAATAATGGAAAATGTAACTAAAACATTCTGATTCTGAAAGTGGTTTGTATCAGACTAAACCTCCTAGCTGGATAAAATATCATCTACCCTAATAAAAGAGAAATATGGTAATTGGCGTACGACCGCTACCCTTCCCATTGGCTAATCAGCATATCCTTATGCAAATTAACTGTCAGCCAAGATGGCGGCCGGCAGCCATGCACTGAAGCGAGCAGGGAGGCTTGCTTGCTTCAGTGACTGCGGACTCCAACGTTCCCCGCCTAACTTGCCGGCCTCTCAGCTGCAAGTCTAAGCAACTATATACTATGTTGCAAATAAGAAGCTAAACAAAATCCCAGAAACCAGCCGGACTGAAAGCCAGCCAGACCGCTACATTGTATCGATGTTTTCAGCAGCGAGGCCTCGGAGCTAAAGCTGGCCCAGAATGGAAAAAAAAAAAAAAGAAAACAAGGAGCGGTTGGGAGCTTCAGTCAACAACCGCCAGCCTGAAAGCAGCCCTCAGCCCCTCACCCAGACTGGCCAGGCACCCCAGTGGGGACCCCCACCCTGAAGGGTGTGTGACCAGCTGCAAACAGCCATCATCCCCTCATCCAGGCTGGCCAGGCACCCCAGTGGGGACCCCCACCCTGAAGGGTGTGTGACCAGCTGCAAACAGCCATCATCCCCTCATCCAGGCTGGCCAGGCACCCCAGTGGGGACCCCCACCCTGAAGGGTGTGTGACCAGCTGCAAACAGCCATCATCCCCTCATCCAGGCTGGCCAGGCACCCCAGTGGGGACCCCCACCCTGAAGGGTGTGTGACCAGCTGCAAACAGCCATCATCCCCTCATCCAGGCTGGCCAGGCACCCCAGTGGGGACCCCCACCCTGAAGGGTGTGTGACCAGCTGCAAACAGCCATCATCCCCTCATCCAGGCTGGCCAGGCACCCCAGTGGGGACCCCCACCCTGAAGGGTGTGTGACCAGCTGCAAACAGCCATCATCCCCTCATCCAGGCTGGCCAGGCACCCCAGTGGGGACCCCCACCCTGAAGGGTGTGTGACCAGCTGCAAACAGCCATCATCCCCTCATCCAGGCTGGCCAGGCACCCCAGTGGGGACCCCCACCCTGAAGGGTGTGTGACCAGCTGCAAACAGCCATCATCCCCTCATCCAGGCTGGCCAGGCACCCCAGTGGGGACCCCCACCCTGAAGGGTGTGTGACCAGCTGCAAACAGCCATCATCCCCTCATCCAGGCTGGCCAGGCACCCCAGTGGGGACCCCCACCCTGAAGGGTGTGTGACCAGCTGCAAACAGCCATCATCCCCTCATCCAGGCTGGCCAGGCACCCCAGTGGGGACCCCCACCCTGAAGGGTGTGTGACCAGCTGCAAACAGCCATCATCCCCTCATCCAGGCTGGCCAGGCACCCCAGTGGGGACCCCCACCCTGAAGGGTGTGTGACCAGCTGCAAACAGCCATCATCCCCTCATCCAGGCTGGCCAGGCACCCCAGTGGGGACCCCCACCCTGAAGGGTGTGTGACCAGCTGCAAACAGCCATCATCCCCTCATCCAGGCTGGCCAGGCACCCCAGTGGGGACCCCCACCCTGAAGGGTGTGTGACCAGCTGCAAACAGCCATCATCCCCTCATCCAGGCTGGCCAGGCACCCCAGTGGGGACCCCCACCCTGAAGGGTGTGTGACCAGCTGCAAACAGCCATCATCCCCTCATCCAGGCTGGCCAGGCACCCCAGTGGGGACCCCCACCCTGAAGGGGGTGTGACCAGCTGCAAACAGCCATCATCCCCTCATCCTTTTTGTGCACCGGGCCTCTAGTAAATAAATAAAAAAACAGCAGTTTGAAGTCACTGAAAAACAATTAAAGCAGCTAAGACTGAGGGGCCAAGATCAGATGAGGTGAGCCTGACATTCTCCACAGCTTTTCCTTACATGGTGTGTGCTGATTCCTACACTGTGTAAGGCGAGAAGCAGAGAAGCTGAGATGCCAAGTAGAATGCAGCAAAGATGCTCAAAAGCAAACGAGCAGTTTCACAGTGCTGAACAGTCAAATGAGCTCAGGACTTTGGAAGAGAAAGCTTTCATTTGAGTCCCCAGCAGAGCTAGGCCTTCAGAATAAGGGCAAACCAGAAATAGAGAGCCTTCACCAGTATTTCCCCTTGGTCCCTGAGAGAATCAAGATGAACTACCCCCTACTCTAAATTTCTGGCAGAACAATAATTTTTTTCTGGAAGCAGTAACATTATCCATAGCTTCCGCAGTTTTTCATACACAATGTCCACCATTTGGTCAAAGTTAAGTAGACATTTCAGGAATCAAGATCAAATGACTGAAAAGCCAAAAGAAAAACAGGACAAAGGAGAAAGACCTATACATAATTAGATATTGAGGTTAGATATGAATTTTCAAATACTGTAATTACAATGTTCAAGAAGGTAGATAACAAGAGAATTTTTCCAGCTAACTAGCTCTATAAAAGAAGAATTAAATGGAGATCCTGGCTGGGTAGCCCCGTTGGTTAGAGTGTCATCCAGATATGCTAAGGCCGTGAGTTCTCTCTCAGGTCAGGGAACATATAGGAAGCAATCAATGAATGCATAAGTAAGTGGAACAACCAATTGATCTCTCTCCCTCCTTCCTTCCTCCCTTCCTCTCACTCTAAAATCAATAAAATTAAGACTTCAATAAATGCATTAAATTTTAAAAGAATGAATTAGTGAACTGAAAGACAAATCAGAAAAAAATCCAGCCCAAGTCATAGAGAAGAAAAAATGATGAAAAGCATAGAAAACTATATAACAGACAAATGGACATAGTAAAAAGATATAATGTGCAGCACAACTCTCAGAAGATGAAAGATAATGTGGAAGACTATTTAGAGAGCTACTGACCAAGAAACTTCTAAAACTGGCAATAGACAACAG